ACCCCAGCCAGGCGCCTGGCAAGCCACGGGGCACGGCGGGCCCTGAGACCTGAGCGTGGGCACCTCCCTGTGGGCGGCCGGGACACGAGTGGTGAGGGCACTGCACAGCCAGGGGAGCATCCATACAGAGTCCCCGCCAGCCCTGGCCGGTGTGGCTCCGTGGACAGAGCGTCGGCCTGCGGACGGAAGGGTCCCGGGTTCGATTCCGGTCAAGGGCATGGGCCTTGGTTGCAGACACATCCCCAGTGGGGGGTGTGCAGGAGGCAGCTGATCCATGGTTCTCTCTCATCATTGACGTTTCTCTCTCTCTCTCTCTCTCTCTCTCTCCTTCCTCTCCGACATCAATAAAAATAGTTTTAGAAAAACACAACAGCCCTGACTGGTGTGCTCAGTGGGTAGAGTGTTGGCCTGTGGACAGAAGGATCCCAGGTTCGATTCCGGTCAAGGGCATGCACCTTGGTGGCGGGCACATCCCCAGTGGGCAGTGTGCAGGAGGCAGCTGATGGATGTTTCTCTCTCATCGATGTTTCTGACTCTCTATTCCTCTCCCTTCCTCTCGGTAAAAAAAAAATCAATAAAATATATTTTTTTAATAAAAAACAAAAAAAAAAACCTTCTCGTTAAAAAGCGGACGAGAGAAGCCTGCTGAGAATCTCACTGTGATGTCACCGACCTTGGCCGGCACCCCCTTTACCCGGGGCGCCCCGTGTTCTACGGGCTCCGGGGGCCATCACACACGCACACCACGAGAGCATTTTTTTTAAAAATAATTATTGTTGTTTTTAAATATATTTCATTGGCTCTTTACAGAGAGGAAGGGAGAGGGATAGAGAGCTAGAAACATCAATAAGAGAGAAACATCCACCAACTGCCTCCTGCACACCCCCCACTGGGGATGTGCCCGCCACCAAGGTCCATGCCCTTGACCGGAATCGAACCCGGGGCCCTTCAGTCTGCAGGCCGGCACTCTATCCACTGAGCCACACCGGTTTCGGCTCAAGGAGAATCAAAATTCTGATTGATTTCCCAGCATCGACTCCTGGCCAGGAGCTTAGTAAACCGACGGGACCGTCTGTCCCCCCCCCCCCCACCTTCCTCCGCCCCGACGCCACCGATGACTCCTTCAGGGCCCAGGTCGGGCCCCGGGCAACGTGGTTCCTGGGACCGGGGGTGCGGGGGGATTCTGGGAAAGAGACTTCCTGTCCGACTGCCTGTGACCTCCTTTCAGACTTCCTCCTCTGCGGAGTGGCCAGCAGCCTCGTTGGGGCCCAGCGGAGGCTGTGCCTGGGCCCTCACGCTCCCCGGGCGGATTCTCAGGTCCATTCCTCCATCAGGAGGGCCTGCGGGTCCCTCTAACATCCGGGGGCGGGAGTGCCCGGCCCGCGGGCCAGGTGAGGCCCTGCCAGGGCCTGAGGCCCGTGGTCGGCAAACTGCAGCTCCCCAGCCACAGGTGGCCCGGTCAGGGCACAGGCCCGGGTTGCGGGCTCCATCCCCAGTGGGGGGCGAGCATGCAGGAGGCAGCCGGTCCCTGATTCTCTCTCATCACGGACGCTTCTCTCTCTCTCTCTCTCTCTCTCTCTCTCTCTCTCTCTCTCTCTCTCTCTCCCCCTTCCTCTCTGAAATCTTTAATAAAAATATATATTTTTAAAAACACACAAATGCCATGTTTCTAACCCGCGGCGGCGCCCACAGGAACAGCCAAAGGTTGAGAAGAGGAGAGGAGGCCAACGTGGGGACATGGAACTGGCCGGACCGGTTCCGGGGAGACGGGCCAGGGCAGGGGCAGCGGGCGCGGAGCGGGCCGCGCACGTGTCTCCACGGAAAGGTCACGGCCTGCCGGCCTCAGGGCCCTCCATCGCGGTGGCCTTAGCATGCCCGCCTCCCCCCACACCGACAGATCGTAAGAGGGCTGTCTTCCCTCTCAGCGTGGACGCTTTAAACTGTGTTTAAAGAAACGATACAGCCCTGGCTGGTGTGGCTCAGTGGACAGAGCATCGGCCTGCGGACCGAAGGGTCCCAGGTTCCATTCCGGTCAAGGGCATGGACCTTGGTTGCAGGCACATCCCCAATGGGGGGAGGGGGTGCAGGAGGCAGCTGGTCAATGTTTCTCTCTCATCATGGATGTTTCTGACTCTCTCTCCCTCTCCCTTCCTCTCTGTAAGAAATCAATAAAATATGTGTGTGTTTTTTTTAAAAAAGAAAGAAACTATACAGCCCTCGCTGGTGTGACTCAGTGGGTAGAGCGTCGGCCTTCGGACGGAAGGGTCCCAGGTTCGATTCTGGCCAAGGGCACAGGCCTGGGTTGCAGGCTCCATCCCCAGTGTGGGGCGTGCAGGAGGCAGCCGATCCGTGATTCTCTCTCCTCATGGATGTTTCTATCTCTCTCTCCCTCTTCCTTCCTCTCTGAAATCAATTATTTAAAAAGGAGAAACTCTATACCACGTTATGAATGTCTGATGGATGTCTGCAGACTCAGAGGTTAAACGGTTGTGCGCATGCTTATAAGCCTAACCAGCGGTCACGGACAACAGGAAAGAGGGGGGGGGGGTGTGGGGAGGGGTTGGGGATGCGATTGGCGGGGGGGATGAGGACAAATATGTGATACCTTAAGCAATAAATAATTTTTTTCTATATTTCATTGATTTTTTTACAGAGAGAAAGGGAGAGAGAGAGTTAGAAACATTGACGAGAGAGAAACATCCATCAGCTGCCTCCTGCACGCTCCCTACCTGGGATGTGCCCGCAACCAAGGTCCATGCCCTTGACCCGAATCGAACCCGGGACCCTTCAGTCCGCAGGCCGACGCTCTATCCACTGAGCCACACCGGTTTTAGAAATAAAGAATTTTTTTTAAAAAAAGAAATTAAAATGGACAACCGTGGCAGAAACAGCCCAGCCAGCCACGCCCCTGTGGCCACAGCTGGCGCGGGCACCTCTATTTTAAGGTGAGCAGCCCCAAACGGCTTACGAGCATATAATTGCTTTTTTTTTTTTTAATAATATATATATACACATAATTGCTGGCCAGTGCCTGAAGCTGAGCGTGTCAGCCGCCTTTGTACCAAGATTAGAAGGCTCACCCCCCCCCCAGACCCACTCCTGAGCATCGTGTGCGGAGGGCCGAGCAGTGGTCGGCAAACTGCGGCTCCAGAGCCACCGGCGGCTCTTGGGCCCCTGGAGGGCGGCTCTTCCACAGCCCGGGCGGGTCTGTGTGGAAGACGTGGCGTCAGGAGGCGTTTACGTTGAAAACATGTGGCTCCCCAGAGACACGTCCGTCGTGGTGCTGTGGGTGTTTGGCTCTGTGGACCGGTGAGTTTGCCGACCCCGGGGCTAGGAAACGACACCGGCCGTCCCCGTGAAAACATCGCAGAGGTCACGTTGAAAAGGAAGGAATCAGGAATATAACCCTCCTCTGCCCACCCCCCTCCACACACACACACACACACACACACACACACACACACATCAAAGGTTCTTATAAGGGCATTTCTTGGATCCCATGATCTCACACATCTAGAGGAAATAATGAACAGCATAAACGGATGGACAAAAACACACACCCAGAGACAGGGAAGCAGCGATCAGACTGTCAAACCTCAGAGGGAAGGCAGGGGAGGGTGGGGGTCAGGGGGAGAGATCAACCCAAAGACTTGTGTGCATGCCTATGGGCCTGGCCAGTGGCCACGGACAACAGGGGGGCGGGGGCATATGTGGGGAGGGGTTTGGGATGGGAATGGGGGGGATGAGGACAGTTATGTGATACTATGATCAATAATATATATATATTTTTTTTAATTTTTTTTAAGTGGATGGGAGGAGGACGAACAAAAATGACCTTTGCCAATGGCTCTGTCTTTCCAGAAAACTGCACGGGACAGACAGCTGAAACCATCCCCAGGCCTGTCCCCCCCCCCCTGCTTTCCCCCCTCTTACCCTCCCCCACCAGGGCCGCACCAGCGAGGTCATTCCAGAGAACGGGCTACTGCCGGGCCCTCAGGAGGGGACGGGAGTGGCCCCCACGGGGCTGGCGGAGAATTTGCACTGGCGTTGGATCTATGTATTATTTTTTATAATTTTTTATTATTGCGTTTAGAAAGAGAGAGCAAGAGGGAGCTAGAAACATCCAGGAGGAGAGAGAATCATGGACTGGCTGCCTCCCGCCCACCCCACACAGGGGATGGAGTCCCCAACCCGGGCCTGTGGCCTGACCGGGAACCGAACCCTGTCCTCCTGGTTCCTAGGTCAACGCGCCGCTGTTTTAAAAAGGAGCTTCCTTTCCCAAGAGGCACGAAAGGAAGTGAAACGTGAGCCTCCACGGGGACAGCCGCGCTGGAAGCGGTGTCTCTCACACACGGAGACTGAAGCCGCACATACAACATTCATGGCCCTGGCCAGGGTGGCTCAGGGGATAGAGCGCCGACCTGCAGGCTGAAGGGTCCCGGGTCCGATTCCGGTCAAGGGCATGGACCTTGGTGGCGGGCACATCCCCAGGAGGAGGTGTGCAGGAGGCGGCTGATGGATGTTTCTCTCTCATGGATGCTTCTAACTCTCTATCCCTCCCCCTTCCTCTCTGCGAAAAATCAGTAAAATATATATTTTTTTTTAATATATTTTATTGATTTTTGTACAGAGAGGAAGGGAGAGAGATAGAGAGCTAGAAACATCGATGAGAGACAGTCATCAATCAGCTGCCTCCTGCACACCCCCTACTGGGGATGTGCCCGCCACCAAGGTCCATGCCCTTGACCGGAATCGAACCCGGGACCCTTCAGTCCACAAGCCGACGCTCTATCCACTGAGCCACACCGGTCCTGGCAGTAAAATGTATTTTTAAAGAAAGAGAACAGTCACGATTGCCACCAGCACAGGGCCGAGACCCAGCGTTGATTCCATTCCCAGCCACGCGGGACGGGGGTGCGGGCGGGGCCCACCGTCAGATGCTCCCGTGTCCACTCCCCTGCCCCGGGGCCGGCCGCCTAGGGCGGACAGCACGCACGTACCTTCGCCTTCAGAGGAGGGACACTTCACGTTCACTACCAGGTCCAAGGTTCTTTCTGGGTTTTCCCTAAAAGAGGAAGAAGAAGAAAGAGCGTCGTTACAGGCCCGTCCGGACGTGCGTCCGCCTCTCCGTACGGCGAGGTTCCCAGGACTCCAAAGAGGGATCAGTTCTGGCCTCCGGGGGGCCGGCGAGGGAGGGATCACGGGGAGCCGGACTATGTTTTGCTGGTGTTGTTTCCCCAGCAACTTAAAAATATATATATATTTTATTGATTTGTCACAGAGAGGAAGGGAGAGGGAGAGAGAGAGCTAGAAGCATCGATGAGGGAGAATCATCCATCAGCTGCCTCTTGCACACCCCCCACTGGGGATGTGCCCGCAACCAACGTCCATGCCCTGGACCGGAATCGAACCCAGGACCCTTGAGTCCGCAGGCCGGCGCTCTAGCCACTGAGCCACACCGGTTTGGGCTGCCACGTAATTACGAGGCTTGGGACTACACACACGGACGGCCAGGCCTCGCTCTGCGTCCATTATCGGGGGGGGGGGGGAGCGGGGAGACACACCTGCCTGGGCGCCCCACTTTCCCGCCAGCAGCCGCTCAGACACCCACGTCTGTGCCAGCTTCTCGGGGACCACCCCCCCCCCCAACTCATGGGCTCTGCTTCCCCCAAAAACCGAGCTCAGCCGAAACCGGTGTGGCTCCGTGGATGGAGCGTCGGCCTGCGGACTGAAAGGTCCCGGGTTCGATTCCGGTCAAGGGCATGGACCTTGGTTGCGGGCACATCCCCGGTGGGGGGTGTGCAGGAGGCAGCTGATCGATGATTCTCTCTCATCGATGTTTCTAGCTCTCTATCCCTCTCCCTTCCTCTCTGTAAAAAATCAATGAAATATATATATTTTTTAATTTAAAAAAAAAAAAAACGAACTGAAACCTGGGGAGACACTTCTTACTTTTTCTTTTTATTTTTTTTCCAACACAGAGTCCTTTTTTATCTCTCTGCCGGCAGATAAGAGATGCGAGCCTGATACCACCATGGCCATGTTACCCAAGGGTTCCCCTCTGCCAGGTCTCCCCCCCCACCCCATCCCACTCCCCCCACCCCATCCCACCCCACTCCCCCCACCCCATCCCACTCCCCCCACCCCATCCACTCCCCCCCATCCCACCCCATCCCACTCCCCCCACCCCATCCCACCCCGTCCCACTCCCCCCACCCTATCCTATCCCATCCCACTCCCCCCACCCCGTCCCACCCCTTGGCAAGGTGGTCGTAGCGTCCCATCAGACACTGCTCCGCTCCCAAGTACACATCCTCTTTCTTTCTGTCTTTCTGTCTTTCTGTCTTTCTTTCTTTTTTTTAAATATTATCAGGACAGGAATCTAGAAACAGGAAGTGACCGGCCATACGGATTCCGTCGCCCCAGACACACAGTTTTGTCTGTCCTGGGCCCTCCGGCCCGGCCAGGCTGACCCCGGGACCTCCCTCTTCCCGCACCCTCTCCGCGGAGGGCAGAAAGGGGACTATTCCCATCGCCCCCTGCCCCTCGCCCCATTCTCCCCGGGTGGCCCAGCCTGCAGAAAGCCCTGCCCGGGCAGAATGCCCGGCCTCCCTGCCCCTGGCCCCTGGCCCTGGCTCCTGCCCCTGGCCCCTGCCCCTGGCTCCTGCCCCTGGCTCCTGCCCCTGGCTCCGGGGCGGGCAGGCAGGGAGGCCCTGGGCACCTGTGCCCGGCCAGAGCCCTTAACCCTTCCCCTCCCGCAGCCAAAGGCACAGGTTCTTCCTGGTTTTTTAAAGTCTGGGGACCGGAGGGGGTGGAGAGGCCGGGACCGGTGTGGCTCAGTGGATAGAGCGTCGGCCTGAGGACCGAAGGGTCCCGGGTTCGATTCGGGTCAAGGGCATGGACCTGGGTGGCGGGCACATCCCCGGTGAGGGGTGTGGGGGAGGCAGCTGATGGATGATTCTCTCTCATCGATGTTTCTAGCTCTCTATCCCTCTCTCTCTCTCTCTCTCTCTCTCTCTCTCTCTCTCTCTCCCTTCCTCTCTGTAAAAAATCAATAAAATATATATATTTTTTTTTTTAAAAAGTGGGTGCGGGGGGAAGAAAAATAAGAGAAACAAGGAATTCTTTGCCAAGTAAGTTGAGAGAGAGAGAGAGAGAGAGAGAGAGAGAGAGGCAAAATCCCTCATCTAATGGAATCGCCTCCACCCCCTTCCCCCCCAAGGTCCGGGGTGACCCCGGGGACCCGCCCCGATCGCGGGGAGAGGGGCCCCGGGGCAGGGCCGCGGGGAGCCCGGAGCCCAGAGCCCGGAGCGCGGGGCCCCGCCCGGAAGGTGGGGGGGGGGGGGGGGCGGGGGGGGCGCACTCACCGCGTCCGGCGTCCATCGCACATGTCGGGGCGCGGGGCGCGGGGCGCGGGGCGCGGGGCGCGGGGCGCGGGGCGCGGGGGGCGGCGATCGGGGCGGCGATCGGGCCCGTGTCGCCGCGCGCCCTCCCGGCCCGGCCTCTGTGACAGCAGCGGCCCCGCCTCCGCCGCCTCCCTCCTCCCTCCGCCCGGTCCCCGCCCTGCGCCCTCCTCCGCCTCCGCCTCCGCCGCCTCCTCCCTCCTCCTCCCTCCGCCGCCGCGATCAGGGACCAGGAAGTGGGCGGCGCCGGGCGCACCTGCCCCGGACCGCCCGGCCCGGCCCCCGGGGCCCCCAACCCGCCCCGGGACACCCCCAACCCGCCCCCGGGCCCCCCAACCCGCCCCCGGGCCCTCCAACCCGCCCCCGGGGCTCCCCAACCCGCCCCGGGGCTCCCCAACCCGCCCCCGGGTCACCCCCAACCCGCCCCCAGGGCCCCCAACCCGCCCCCGGGCCCCCCAACCTGCCCCTGGCGCCCCCAACCCGCCCCCGGGGCCCCCAACCTGCCCCCGGGCCCTCCAACCCGCCCCCGGGGCCCCCAACCCGCCCCCGGGGCCCCCAACCTGCCCCCGGGTCACCCCCAACCCGCCCCCAGGGCCCCCAACCCGCCCCCGGGCCCCCCAACCTGCCCCTGGCGCCCCCAACCCGCCCCCGGGGCCCCCAACCTGCCCCCGGGCCCTCCAACCCGCCCCCGGGGCCCCCAACCCGCCCCCGGGGCCCCCAACCTGCCCCCGGGTCACCCCCAACCCGCCCCCAGGGCCCCCAACCCGCCCCCGGGCCCCCCAACCTGCCCCCGGGCCCTCCAACCCGCCCCCGGGGCCCCCAACCCGCCCCCGGGGCCCCCAACCTGCCCCCGGGTCACCCCCAACCCGCCCCCAGGGCCCCCAACCCGCCCCCGGGCCCCCCAACCCGCCCCCGGGGCCCCCAACCCGCCCCCGGGGCCCCCAACCTGCCCCCGGGTCACCCCCAACCCGCCCCCGGGGCCCCCAACCCGCCCCCGGGCCCCCCAACCTGCCCCTGGCGCCCCCAACCCGCCCCCGGGGCCCCCAACCCGCCCCCGGGTCGGCGTGTCCCAGGCGGAGCGGCTCCCCTTGCGCCCCTGGGGAGGCGGGGTCCCTCCGGGGCACAGGGTTTGCGCCCTGCCCCCCCCCTTCGGCAGGTGCTGGGCTCTGAGCTGAAGTGGGGGGGCTGGAAGCCTGGACCCCCCTCCTGGGGACCCCCTGGGCCACCCAGGGCGCCCCCCACCCCATCCTCATTCCGGAGCTCCCCCCTCCCACACACGTGCACCTGCCAGAGGCCGCCCCGGCACAGAAGGGGGTGCAGACCCGCCTGCGTGCGCTCCGTCCTTTTGGTTTGGGTTTGGGGTTTTGGGTGGATGTGTCCAGGCCGCCTCTGCTCGCTTTTGCTGTTTGCATGGATGTCAGAGAGGAAGGGAGAGGGAGAGAGAGAAACATCCATGAGGAGAGAGCATCATGGACCTGCCGCCTCTTGCATGCCTCCTACTGGGGACCAAGCCCGCAACCTGGGCCTGTGCCCTCGGCCGGAATCAAACCCAGGACCTTCCAATCTGCAGGCCAACGCTCTATCCACTGAGCCACACCGGCTATGGACGCACACACAGTGGCGGGTGCACAGGGGGCCGGGGGGGGGGGGGGGGGCTGCTAGATACAGCCCACAGGTCCCAGCAGGGGCAGGAGGGGAGCAGGGATGGCACCCAGGGGCTTGTCCTAACGCCTGGCGGCGATGGACACTCAGACCCGAGGCTGCAAGCTAGGCCAGGGGTGAGGCCACCTCCCCAGCCTCTCTCTCTCTCTCTCTCTCTCTCTCTCTCTCTCTCTCTCTCTCTCTCTCTCCTGCACCTTCACCCCCAGGCTCCGGGGAGAAGACAGGAGGAAAAGTCTCAAGGGGAATCCTCCACGGACCATCCGGGGCCGGACACCCGCGGGGACACCTTCTGGAACCTTCTGCCACCGGGGTCACCGCCCCGGCCGCCTGGACGCGGTGAGTCACCGGGACCGGGCAGCTGCGCTCACAGAAGGCGGGAGGAGGGGAGGCAGCGGAATGCGGCCGGCAGAGGCTGAGTCACAGCAGGTCCAAGCCCAAGGCCAAACCTCGGGGACTCAGGGCAGAACGCAGGCTCCAGTGCCCAAGAGGGACGTCCCTGCCCAAGGTGGGGGTGATGTGACCGGGGTGGCTCAGTGGATAGAGCGCCGGCCTGCGGACGGAAGGGTCCCGGGTTCGATTCCGGTCAAGGGCATGTGTCTTCGTGGCGGGCACATCCTCGGTAGGGGGTGTGCAGGAGGCAGCCGATGGATGATTCTCTCTCATCGATGTTTCTAACTCTCTCTGTCCCTCTCCCTTCCTCTCTGTGAAAAAAATCAATCACATACATTTAAAAAGAAAAAGAAAAAGAAAAAAGCGCCGAAGATGTTGTCGGACCTTCTCAGAGACCGTCCTGCTGATTTCGGTTTCACAGTTAAGGCGATCGGCACCACACACATTCCCTCCCCCCACCCCACCCCCTCGCCCCCAAATAAAACGGGTTTCTCCCCAAAGAGTGACCGTGCGGCAGACTCATTCCGCGACCTCAGGAATACACCACTTCTGCTCCGCGGGTCGCTAACCGGCTAGGACTTCTCCTTTCGTTATAAGGAATCCTTCCCCCCAAGAGGTCCCCCCCACCTGGGTGCCTGTGTGAGGAGCTTCTCATCGCTGTGGCGGGGACACGGGAATGTATAGGTGCTCCCTGCCCGAGCGCGGGGATGAGAGCGACAGGGGTACCTCTGCAGAGTCAGTGTTCGTTTTTATTATTTACTTTTTAGTTTATATTTTATTGATTTTGTACAGAGAGGAAGGGAGAGAGATAGAGAGTTAGAAACATCGATGAGAGAGAGTCATTGATCAACTGCCTCTTGCACATCCCCCACTGGGGATGTGCCCGCAACCAAGGTCCATGCCCTTGACTGGAATCGAACCTGGGACCTTTCAGTCCGCAGGCTGATGTTCTATCCACTGAGCCACACCGGTTTCGGCCATTGTTCGTTTTTAAGTTTATTTAAGGACTAGTCGCCCTGCACACCAATCCGTGCACCAGTAGCTGGAAGCCACCCTCCTGTAGCTCCCTCCGCCCAC